ATGTGTGTGTGTGTCTCTCTGTGTGTGTCTCTGTGTGTGTGTCTCTGTGTGTCTCTATGTGTGTGTGTGTCTCTCTGTGTGTGTCTCTGTGTGTGTGTCTCTGTGTGTCTCTATGTGTGTGTGTGTCTCTCTGTGTGTGTCTCTGTGTGTGTGTCTCTGTGTGTCTCTATGTGTGTGTGTGTCTCTCTGTGTGTGTCTCTGTGTGTGTGTCTCTGTGTGTCTCTATGTGTGTGTGTGTCTCTCTGTGTGTGTCTCTGTGTGTGTGTCTCTGTGTGTCTCTATGTGTGTGTGTGTCTCTCTGTGTGTGTCTCTGTGTGTGTGTCTCTGTGTGTCTCTATGTGTGTGTGTGTCTCTCTGTGTGTGTCTCTGTGTGTGTGTCTCTGTGTGTCTCTATGTGTGTGTGTGTCTCTCTGTGTGTGTCTCTGTGTGTGTGTCTCTGTGTGTCTCTATGTGTGTGTGTGTCTCTCTGTGTGTGTCTCTGTGTGTGTGTCTCTGTGTGTCTCTATGTGTGTGTGTGTCTCTCTGTGTGTGTCTCTGTGTGTGTGTCTCTGTGTGTCTCTATGTGTGTGTGTGTCTCTCTGTGTGTGTCTCTGTGTGTGTGTCTCTGTGTGTCTCTATGTGTGTGTGTGTCTCTCTGTGTGTGTCTCTGTGTGTGTGTCTCTGTGTGTCTCTATGTGTGTGTGTGTCTCTCTGTGTGTGTCTCTGTGTGTGTGTCTCTGTGTGTCTCTATGTGTGTGTGTGTCTCTCTGTGTGTGTCTCTGTGTGTGTGTCTCTGTGTGTCTCTATGTGTGTGTGTGTCTCTCTGTGTGTGTCTCTGTGTGTGTGTCTCTGTGTGTCTCTATGTGTGTGTGTGTCTCTCTGTGTGTGTCTCTGTGTGTGTGTCTCTGTGTGTCTCTATGTGTGTGTGTGTCTCTCTGTGTGTGTCTCTGTGTGTGTGTCTCTGTGTGTCTCTATGTGTGTGTGTGTCTCTCTGTGTGTGTCTCTGTGTGTGTGTCTCTGTGTGTCTCTATGTGTGTGTGTGTCTCTCTGTGTGTGTCTCTGTGTGTGTGTCTCTGTGTGTCTCTATGTGTGTGTGTGTCTCTCTGTGTGTGTCTCTGTGTGTGTGTCTCTGTGTGTCTCTATGTGTGTGTGTGTCTCTCTGTGTGTGTCTCTGTGTGTGTGTCTCTGTGTGTCTCTATGTGTGTGTGTGTCTCTCTGTGTGTGTCTCTGTGTGTGTGTCTCTGTGTGTCTCTATGTGTGTGTGTGTCTCTCTGTGTGTGTCTCTGTGTGTGTGTCTCTGTGTGTCTCTATGTGTGTGTGTGTCTCTCTGTGTGTGTCTCTGTGTGTGTGTCTCTGTGTGTCTCTATGTGTGTGTGTGTCTCTCTGTGTGTGTCTCTGTGTGTGTGTCTCTGTGTGTCTCTATGTGTGTGTGTGTCTCTCTGTGTGTGTCTCTGTGTGTGTGTCTCTGTGTGTCTCTATGTGTGTGTGTGTCTCTCTGTGTGTGTCTCTGTGTGTGTGTCTCTGTGTGTCTCTATGTGTGTGTGTGTCTCTCTGTGTGTGTCTCTGTGTGTGTGTCTCTGTGTGTCTCTATGTGTGTGTGTGTCTCTCTGTGTGTGTCTCTGTGTGTGTGTCTCTGTGTGTCTCTATGTGTGTGTGTGTCTCTCTGTGTGTGTCTCTGTGTGTGTGTCTCTGTGTGTCTCTATGTGTGTGTGTGTCTCTCTGTGTGTGTCTCTGTGTGTGTGTCTCTGTGTGTCTCTATGTGTGTGTGTGTCTCTCTGTGTGTGTCTCTGTGTGTGTGTCTCTGTGTGTCTCTATGTGTGTGTGTGTCTCTCTGTGTGTGTCTCTGTGTGTGTGTCTCTGTGTGTCTCTATGTGTGTGTGTGTCTCTCTGTGTGTGTCTCTGTGTGTGTGTCTCTGTGTGTCTCTATGTGTGTGTGTGTCTCTCTGTGTGTGTCTCTGTGTGTGTGTCTCTGTGTGTCTCTATGTGTGTGTGTGTCTCTCTGTGTGTGTCTCTGTGTGTGTGTCTCTGTGTGTCTCTATGTGTGTGTGTGTCTCTCTGTGTGTGTCTCTGTGTGTGTGTCTCTGTGTGTCTCTATGTGTGTGTGTGTCTCTCTGTGTGTGTCTCTGTGTGTGTGTCTCTGTGTGTCTCTATGTGTGTGTGTGTCTCTCTGTGTGTGTCTCTGTGTGTGTGTCTCTGTGTGTCTCTATGTGTGTGTGTGTCTCTCTGTGTGTGTCTCTGTGTGTGTGTCTCTGTGTGTCTCTGTGTGTGTCTCTATGTGTGTGTCTCTGTGTGTGTCTCATAGTAGCTGTCCCAATGGCTATGAAATCTCTCCTCTGTAGCTCTCCCTTTGTGAGGAGGTCAGGGCTGACCCTGCGGTCAGAGGTCTCGTCTCCATGCTAGTGTCTGCTTCTGAGGCAGCTCCTCAGGTTTCTGCTTCCTGGGCACACGGCCTGTAGAGCCCCTTCCCGTGAGTGTGAGGAGCCCCTGCATGTGACGCACGGTCCCTCCCTGGATTGGGTCACGTCAGATGAGCGAAGTGGCAGTGTGGCTCCCAGGGTGACGTTCTCTAGGACTCCCCCCAGCTGATAGGAGGCGGGTCCCCCCACCCCCCCGCCGTGGGCTGTTGCGGGGCCTGTGAGCAGGAGGCCCCAGGAGCTGAAGGCAGCCCCGGCTCCACAGCCAGAAAGAAAACAGGCCCTCAGTCCCACCATCGCGAGAAAATGCATTTTGCCAACAATAGGAGCTGGGAAGTGGACCCTTCCCCGTGGGCCCCCTGGACGAGGGTGCAGCTGAGGTAGCACCGGGACTGCGGCCTCGTGAGACCCTGAGCAGGGGACTCGGCTTCAACGCCAGGATCCTGCCCCCCAAAACCTTGAGAAAGGCCATGTGCATTGTTCGAGCTGCCACATTTCCGGCAATCCGTCAGAGCAGCAGCCAGCGGACACACTTCTCTGCATTGCCCCCCGCCCTCTCCGCCATGGGTGTTCCGCAGGCTTCGTTCCGACCGTCCGAACAGCTGTTCCTTCCGCCGGGCACTTGCTGAATCCTTGTTTATCCATCGGAATTCAGCTCCCTCATCCCTCCCTCAGGAAGCCTCCTCGGACCCCCGTCTAGATGGGAGCGCAGCGTCCCATGGATAGATCTCTGTTTTTGAGCCTTTATTGTTGCTGTAATTTTAAATTATTTCGGCTCCTGCCAGGAAGGTTCAAGCTCTGTGGGCTCAGAGAATCACATCTGCCTCATTCAGGGTCGGGCACCCAGCACCGGGCAACCAGGTCGTCCGTATCAGACAGATGGAGAGCCGAATGAATGGTGCTTCTATATTCGATGCTAAATGGCAGGAGGGCCCCTCCTGTGCCCTAATGATGATGATGACAAGACAACTTGGAGCAGCCTCGCTCCCCGCCCGCCCCGCGGCCCGCCGCCCCCGCGCATCTCCCCTCTCTCTCCTCAGCTCCGGGCGTTGGCCGGGCAGAAGCCTCATTACAGAAGGTCCTCTGCGTCGCTCAACATCTACCAACTCACACGTGAATCTCGTTTAGATGTTTCCATCACAGCAACATCTAGAATCATGTCTGACCAAATGACAGGCCTAGCAAAGTGGACACACAGAATCAACCGTCCCAGGGACACGCTCAGGCTGCAGCGTGTGTGTGCACGGTGAATGGGTGTCCCGTGTCTTACCTGACACCCAGGCCCGCTCTTCACCCCCAGGGGCCTCCAAAGCGACTCCATGGCCTTCGGGGAGGCCCCCAGCCGAGTGGCACCTTCACGGAACCCTGTCTGGGAACATAGCATGGGATTGTCACCCAGATTTCTTCTCTGGTTTTCTGACGGGGTAGGGGGTGTCAGAGTCCAGGGATGATCCTCTCCACCCACACGGTGCAGGCAGCCTCCGGGGGCCAAGCCGAAGGGAGGTCATGAGAGCACCTCTGTAGGAGGCGTGCTGGCGATTCAGCCCCTCTGGCAAGGAGGGCTCCTCTGGGGGCTGGGAATGCGGTGGGTTTGGAGGAGAGGTCTGCTCAGGTCTGGGGAACCTCAGAGAATCACCCGGTGTGTGTGTGGGGGTGGGGGTGGGCGGGGGAGCGCTATGTCTTAAGGCTCTGTCTTAGGGCTCTTCTAGTCTTGAGTGGCAGAAACCACCTGCCTTAAGTGAAAAAGAGACTTTGTTGGCTCTTGACAAAAAGTTTCAGAGGCAAAGGTGCCAGGACTCAGCCTGTCACCCTCTCTCAGCTCTGCTTTCTGGGAACGGAGCCCCTGGAGTCCCCGGGAGGACCACAGCCCTCTATTTGGAGACTTCTGACCTCCATCGCTGCGAGATAATAGATCCATGTTCCTTTAAGCCCCTGGGTTTAGGCTCATACGTATTCTTTCCAGCAATGGACTCCAACAACCTCCAGAGAGCCTGCATGCACAGCCCACATTTCTCTCCTTTAAAAAAAATTTATATTTATATATTTATATGTGCACACCCTGAGGTGGGCGGGCACATATGTATATATATGCATATTTATTGATTTCAGAGAGGAGGGGAGAGGGAGAGAGAGCTAGAAACATCAACGATGAGAGAGAATTATTGATTGCCTCCTGCATGCCCCCTACTGGGGATTGAGCCTGCAACCCGGGCATGTGCCTTGACCGGGAATCGAACCGTGACCTCCTGGTTCATAAGTTAATGCTCAACCACTGAGCCACCCCAGCCGGGCTTTCTCTCCTTTTTAAAACATTTATATTGTTGAAAGTATTACATATATCTCCCCTCCCCGCTTTGCCACATCTAATTTTTGAATGAGATTAACATTTAAATAGGTTGAGTAATGCGGAAACCTGTAATGTGGCCTTCTGCACGGCCAGCACATTGAGTCCATGTTTTAGGACTTTTTAAACTAGAGTCTGCTGGTGCCTAGGGCACTGCTGACGGCCGCCACATCTGCGCAAGATGGCTCAGGGGAAGAGAAACACCCCCCAGCACTGATATTTTTCTGCCCCTTTTCCGCTGGCATCCAGGTGTCTGGCTGAGGGTCTGGGAGCCATGGAGCCCACCGCTGGTGAACTGCAGCTCGTGCCCAGGGCAACAAAAGAAGTCCCTGCGCCCGACGCTGCGTGCTGTCGAGTGGCGCTCTCTGCTGCGGTGGCCACCAGCATCGTCATCCTCACCCTGGCAGTCCTCGTGGGTAAGTGGCTGAGGGCTTGCGTGGGTTCGTACACTGGGTGACTAGCACAGCGACGCCCAGAGGCGGCTCGGTGGTGTCCACGTGATGACCCCAGCAACAGAGGGCTGAGTGTGCAAGCGTGGAATTGCAGGCTGGCCCTTCCTGCCACCCAAGGGCTACGATGAGCAGACCAGGTTCCCCGCACACCCTGAGGTGGGCGGGCACACGGGCAGGCGGGGTAATACCTGCTAATTTCATTTCCACACCTGGGCTCTCCAGGGGAGCTCTCACAGCTGGGGTGAAATGGACAAATAGGGACCGAGAAATGAACTTATTAAAAGTCTCGAGAGCCGGGCCGGTGTGGCTCAGTGGTTGAGCATTGACCCATGAACTAGGAGGTCAGGGTTTGATTCCTGGTCAGGGCACACGCAGAGGCAACTGATCTTTTTCCTCTCTCATCATTGATGTTTCTATATCTCTCTCCCTCTCCCTTCCTCTCTCTGAAATCTACAAAAACATGTTTTTGTTTTTGTTTTTAAATATATTTTATCGATTTTTTTACAGAGAGGAAGGGAGAGGAATAGAGTTAGAAACATCGATGAGAGAGAAACATCGACCAGCTGCCTCCTGCACACCCACCACGGGGGATGTGTTTGCAACCAAGGTACAAGCCCTTGACCGGAATCAAACCTGGGACCCTTCAGTCTACAGGCTGATGCTCTAGCCAGTGAGCCAAACCAGCCAGGGCAACAAAAACATGTTTTTAAAAAATAAAACAAAAGTCTTAAGAAACTTGAAAAATATTTTAAAAAATGAATAATTCTCTATATTCCATCACACAATGGCTCCCATTTCAAATTTGTTCCCAGTAGACATTCATAGAATTTAAGATGAAACAGGCAAAGTGATGACCCATCTATATGGTGTGGGACTGCAGTTATAAAAATAACAAAGGAAGGTCTTTTCATATTTCAAAGCATGTACTACAGGGCCCTACAAATTGTGCTGCCCATGATGGTGGCCCGAGCCCCATTGGCTATTTAGAGTTAAAGCCACGAAAATGAAGTCATCTTTAAAAATTGAATCCCTCAGTCACAGTCCACAGATGGCTCATGGCTCCTGTACTGGACAGCGCAGAGCTAGAACGTTCTGTCGTCTCGGGAAGGTCTGTGGCTCTGGGATGGGCTCATCCTGAGACGAAGGTTCTTACGGTTTTATTTGGGACTGGGAAAGTCACCTTGCTTTCATGGGATGATGATAGCAAGCAGCAGTTTGGCAATCCTATGTGGGTCCCCCTAATTTAAAAATAGATATATCGCCCTGACTGGTTTGGCTCAGTGGATGGAGCGTCGGCCTGCGGATTGAAGGGTCCCAGGTTCGATTCCGGTCAAGGGCATGTACCTTGGTTGCAGGCACATACCCAGTGGGGAGTGTGCAGGAGGCAGCTGATCGATGTTTCTCTCTCATTGATGTTTCTAACTCTCTATCCCTCTCCTTTCCCTCTCCCTTCTTCTCTGTAAAAAATCAACAATACATATATTTATATATTTGTGGGACATCAGGAATATCTCACAGCTGGGCACAGCTCACCAGGGCCCCTAGTGGCTCTTGGCATCAAGTGCAGGAAGTGGGACTGGTGTGTATGAGTGTGCACATGTGCATGTATGTAGGCGTGTGTGTGTGTGTGAGAGTATTGTGTTCATGTATGTGTGAGTGTGCATGTGTGCCCATGCACGAGGGTGTATATGTGTGTGAAAGTGCACATACGTATGTGGGTATCCTTGCACCAGGGAGAGGAGGAGGCAGGGTTTCACACCTTTATTCTAGAAGGACAGATACATTTTGTGAACAAGAGATAAACATAATCCCTAGCAGGACCCCTGAAACCAAGGAAGGCTTTAATTTAAAAAATGGCCCAGCCCTAGCCAGTTTAGCTCAATGGGTAGAGCGTTGGCCTGTGGACTGAAGGGTCCGGGTTTGATTCCAGTCAAGGGCACATGCTCAGGTTGTGGGCTTGATCCCCATTAGGAGGCAGCCGGTGAAGGATTCTTTCTCATCACTGATATTTCTATCTCTCCCTCTCCCTTCCTCTCTGAAATCAATAAAAATATATTTAAAAAATAAAAGAAAAAGAAAAGAATAAAATAAAAAAATAAAATAAATGGCCCGGCCAGTGTGGCTCCATGATTGAGCATCGACCTATAACCCGGGAGGTCACAGTTTGATTCCTGGGCAGGGCATGTGTCTGTGTGGGCATGCAGGAGCCAGCTGATTGATGATTCTCTCTCATCATTGATGTTTCTCTCTCTCTCTCTCTCTCTTCCTCTCCGAAGTCAATAAAAATATTTTTAAAAAACACTTTAAAGTTAAAATAAAAATCTTTCTCTTTGCCCTTTAAGACAGCTCACAAGTTAACCCTTAAGACAGCTCACAAGTTAACCTTGGGGGCCCTGGGGGAGGTGCTGGGACATCTATGCTGTTAATAATCAGCCAGGACAACCCCTGGGAGTCTGTGACTATTTCCAGGGGAAACAGAAAGGCTTGGTTGGTTACAGAGCATAGCAATTTTGTCTGCACAACAGGATGCTCATTTTCTTTATTTTTAATTTATTGAATGAGAAGACAAACGTAAAAGCAACATTTTTAGAATTAGCTTAGAATATTTATTTTATCTACTCAATAAACAAATATCTAAATATCTGTCTAGATGAGTATTCACTCATAATAAATAGAACTGGGACCCACCTTTCATGGTTTATGTGGTAGCTACTATCATTTAAAAAATGTTTTATCCCTAGAAGGTTTGGCTCAGTGGATAGAGCGTCAGTCTGTGGATTGAAGGGTCCCAAGTTTGATTCCGGTCAAGGGCACATGCCTGGGTTGCGGGCTCGATCCCCAGTAGGGGGCATGCAGGAAGCAGTCGACCAATGATTCTCTCTCATCATCGATGTTCCTATCTCTCCCTCTTCCTGCCTCTCTGAAATCAATAAAAATATATTTAACAAATAATAATAATAAATACAATTATGATCATTTTTGCGAATGTGTCCTTTTGACAGTCCCAACATATTTTAACCATGAGAAATGCGTGTTTTCATGGTTTATGTGGTTGCTATTGTTTTAGTTATTTAAAATTTTTATAACTATCATTCCTTGCTAGTGTGTACTTCTTTCTTTTTTAAAGTGCAATCTTTTTAAAAATATGTTTCTATTGATTTGTGAGAGGAAAGGAGAGGGAGAGAGAGAAACATCAATGATGAGAGAGAAACATCAACATCGATTGGCTGCCTCCTGCACACCTCCTGCCGGGGATCGAACCCAAAACCTGGGCTTGTGTTCCGACCCAGAATCGAACCAGTGACCTCTTGTGCTTGGATTGACGCTCAACCACTGAGCCACACTGGCTGGGTGCTAATATGTACTTTTGACAAAATATTTTTGACAGTTGTAAACCCAAGTGTTTTCAGAGGGTGGTGTCCTGGGCGGTAGTCCGAGGGTCCGGTGCCTGTGGCTGTGGTCATGCCTGGCAGTATTTGGTGTCCCCTTCCCAGGGCGCAGGTGGGATTGTGGCTCTAAAGTGGAGGAGGTATCCTGAGGTCGTTTCAGCCATTTTTAAAAGAATATATTTTATTGATTTTCCACAGAGAGGAAGGGAGAGGGATAGAGAGTTAGAAACATCGATCAGCTGCCTCCTGCACACCCCACCAGGGTTGTGTCCACAACCCAGGTATATGTCCCTGACCGGAATCGAACCTGGGACCCTTCAGTCCGCAGGCTGACGCTCTATCCACTGAGCCAAACTGGTTAAGGCTTGTTTCAGCCATTTTTGGCTGAAGTCGGCTTCAGGCCCTGGCCTGGCACATCCAGTGAGACAAGGGAAACTGGGAGTTAGTCTTGCCCTCACGCTAAACCTGGGGACCTCTGCGGCTCTGTGCTTCCCTAGGGCCTCCAGGTGGGTGAGTGTGAGAGTTGGAAAGGAGGCACTGTTAACACTCAGCCAGGACAGCCCCTGGGGAGTCAGCCCACCCACGAATTTATCAGGTGACCCGGGCCCCTAGGTGGTGGGCCTTCGAGGCCCCTTCGCTGAGCCCGCGGTGGGCTCTCTCACAGAGCCCTGGTCTCGCCCGCAGCCTCCCTCTCTACACAGGCTGTCGATGTGGAGCACACGGCCGAGCTGCAAGGGATCCGGTACGCCCGCAGCCTGCAGCAGGAGGCCTCCGACTACTACCGCACGCTGACGCCCACCCTGGAAATGCTGGTGAGGGGCGCCTGAGAGCAAGGGGGCAAGGTGGGTGGCCAGGAGCTTCCGCCGAGAGAAGCTCTCATGCCGAGCGAGCCGAGCAGGGGGAGACCCAGGCGGGCCTGGGGCGGGGAGATGGGGTACCTGGAGGAATTGCACAAGGCCTGTGTGGCCGAGGCTGGCGCATTGTCGGATGCAGAGGAGAATGGTGCCCAATGGGAAGTGACTCCTGCAGGCTTGTCGGCCACGTTTAAAGGTTGTAAATTGTCTCCCAGTGGAGAAATGAGAATCCCCACTCATGGCTGGTGGGAATGTGAAATGGGGCTGCTGCTATGGAAAAGCCTAGCTGTGCATCAGAAAGTTAAATTAGAGTCATCCTATGACCCAGCAATTAATTCTGCCCCTCGGTATCTGCCCAAGAGAAATGAAAACACATGTCCACACAGAAACCTGCACACGCATGCTCACTGCAGGGGTCACAATGGCTAAAAGTGGAAGCAGCCTGGGTATCCATCAGCTGGCGGATGGACACACAGATGTGGTCCCACCCTGCACGCCCTGGAGTACCACTCAGCCATGGAAAGGAGTGAGTCGCTGACACTAAGCGTGGATGAGCCTGTACCTGTGGTGCTTAGTGAATCAAGTATCTGTTTTAAGATTTAAGCATGGCCCTTGCCAGTTTGGCTCAGTGGATAGAGCGTCGGCCTGCGGACTGAGGGGGCCTGGGGTCGATTCTGATCAAGGGCACAAACAGGGGTGTGTTTTTATTTTAATTTTTTAAAATATATTTATTTCACCCTAACCGGTTTGGCTCAGTGGATAGACCGTCGATCTGAGGACTGAAGGGTCCCAGGTTCGATTCCGGTCAAGGGCATGTACCTTGGTTGCAGGCACATCTCCAGTAGTGGGTGTGCAGGAGGCAGCTGATCAATGTTTCTCTCTCATCGATGTTTCTGACTCTCTCTTCCCTCTCCCTTCCTCTCTGTAAAAAATCAATAAAATATATTAAAAAAATTTTAAGCATGAACTAATTAAAATTAGCTAAAAGGTAAAAATCATTTCCTCAGTACCACCAGCCACGTTTCAAATGCTCAGTAGCTACGTGTGGATGGTGGCTGCCATGTGGGGCGGGGCCGATGTAGAACATTCTGGGACTTTGTGGAATGTTCTATGAGACAGTACAGCTATAGATGCAGGCAATGAGGGCATGGACCGGTGCATCCATCACCCCAAAACAAGCCCTGTCCCCATCACCACCCCTGCTTCCAGCCCCTGGCCATCACCAGCCACTCTCTGTGGCTCTGCCTGATCTGAGCGTGTCTCATAAGCGGACTCACACGCTGTGTGCCTCTCTGTATGTGGCTTCTCTCACTGAGCCTCATGTTTACAAGGTCCGTCCACCTGTAGCAAGTGTCCTCACTCCTCTCACGGCTGAATAATATTCTAGTGTGTGGATGGACCCCGTTTTATTACTTCCGTGGAGCAATGTCTTCATATGAGTAACTTTGAAATGCCCTCCCCTGTCATCACGTGGCTCTGGGAAGTCGCCGCATGCACTGGGTCTAAGAGGAGGTTCTCCCCTCCCTCCCCCAACAGCTTCCCACCCGGGACAGGCTTCCTCGGGGGCCTGTGGCCTCAACATTTGCCGCTGTTGTTTCCGTTGTAGTTTGTCAGCAGCTTTAGGAAGACAGAGCTGGAGGCCAGCTGCATGGGCTGCACGGTGCTGAGCTACAGGTGAGCGGGGGCCCCCTCGGGGCTAAAGGAGCCTCGGTGGACACCCAGATGTGGGAGATTCCAGCGAGGGGAGCCCTCCCTCCACAGGCCTCTCTCCTCGCTGCAGGGACGGGAACTCCAGTGTCCTCGTGCGCTTCCGGCTGCACTTCCTGCTGCTAGCCCTGCGCTCGCTGGACCGGGGCCTGGAGCGGGAGCTGCTGCAGCAGGGACTCCGGGCGAGGCTGCAGGGCCACGGCATCCCCCTGGCTGCCCACGGCACCATCGTGTCCGCCGAGCTCACAGGCAAGTAGGCAGCGGAGACCCAAGACACTGAGAGGCCGTGCAGGGGAGCATTAGACTGTAGGTTTTCAATCATCAATAAAAATCAATAGCCCCTCCCCCTGCTTCACCCTCAACGGTATGGACCAGGCGTCAGCCACCTGTGAACGGCCAGAGTGTAACTATTTTCATCTTCGTAGCCCACCTACTGGGCTCCGCTATAGGAGCACAGAAGCAGCCCAAGACAATGTCTAAACAAATGGACACGGCTGCGTATCAATAGAACTTTATTTACAAAAACGAGTGGTGGGTCGGGTTTGGCCCATGACTGCAGTTTGTTGACGTCTGGTATAGAAATAAGATAAATTCTAAAATCCGAGGATGCATCAGACTGTTGTCAGGTGAAAGACTGATCACCTCGCCCTGGCCCTGGCCCTCGCCCTGGCCCTGGCCTTGGCCCTACAGGACATTCATGGTCTCCTCCCCACGAACCCTGACACCCCAGTTGAGTCTTAGTGGCCTCGACGTCAGCATGAACACCATCTTCCATGGTGGTGGGAATGGCTCATGGCTGTGCTGTCTGTGACGGTAGCCACCGGTCCCGTGTGGCTATGGAATACTTGTCACGTGGCCGCTGAGGCCGAGGAACACCGCGTTCCATTTGGCTTCATCTTAATTGATTTAAGTTAGACTTTTAAGTGGCTCCCACGGTGGACAGAGCTGCTCTCTGCTTTGCCATGCAATGTTTTCAATGACTGTTGCCACTCACTGAGCAAGCTTCTATCTCTTCTCTGTGTCACTGCAGGAAGCCAGAAGGGGCCATTGGCAGAAAGAGACTTGAAATCAGGTATGTTTTCCTCCCGTCCATGAGCTGCCTGCCCTCTGCCGGCTTCCTCTGACTGTGGTCGCGGCCAGAGGGCTCCTACGGCTTGGTTCAAGTGCGCCAAGGAAATGCCCGGACAGGGTGAGCGCTGGTTCTGTGCACAGATTCGAAGTCCTGTGTTTGCACAGCGTTGACAGACGAAGCCCTTTGTTATAACCTAGGCTTATCGAGGAGGTCACTCTGTAAGGTATACATGTCTAATCATGATGCTGTACACCCGAAGCTAATATCATAATTGTATTTCAACTGTAATTGAAAAATAAATTTTAAAAAATTTTAACTAAAGATGAGGCACTGGAAGTATACATGGCCAAGCATGGTTAAGAGAAAACATTACTGGGTTTCTGGGTTTTTTTGAAAAGTGGTGGAAACCTGTTGTTTAAAAAAAAGAAAAAGAAAAAGTTTGGGGGACCAAAAGAAAAAAGAATGAAAGCTACCTGGAATCTCATCACTGTTAATATTTCAGTGACTGTCCTTCCAGTCAGCTGGAGACACACATAGAGGTGCATGTGAAGCGTGTCCCAAAATCCACGCAAGAAGTAATTTTGATAGGAAACACAGGTTTGTAATTAACAATTGTTAATTTTTTTATTGATTCACAAAGTATACAGTATAGGGTTATGTATGGAATAGCATATCGGGTAAATGGCCTCCACGGCTTTGCCGGCACATATGCACTCTTTTGTTATTGCCTGAGCAGCCGTGTTTTCGAAGAAGAATGGTCCGATGGTGCCTCCAGCCCAAAATCCACACCAACCATTGACACGTTGTGGATGCACTTGTTTCTCAACAATCACTCGTGGATTTTCTGAACCCCAAATGCGACAATTTTGTCGATTAACCAAGCCATCAAGATGAAAATGAGCCTCATCGAAATTCAGCCACATTTATGCAAAATGGTCATGGAAAATTTCAACAAAAGAGTGCATATGTGCCAGCAAAGCCGTGGAGGCCATTTACCCGACATGCTATTCCATACATAACCCTATACTGTATACTTTATGAATCAATAAAAAATTTACAATTTTTAATTACAAACCTGTGTTTTCTATCAAAATTACTTCTTGCGTGAATTTTGGGACACCCTTTATTTAGTTCCATCTCAGTGCTCCTAACTAGGGGTGACTTTGTCCCCAGCGACACTGGGGGTGTCTGGAGACGTCTGTGGTTGTCACCCCCTCACAGTGCCCACGACAGGCCCCACGGAGAGTGACCTGGCCCCGATATGAACCACACACTTAAAATGGTTAAAGTGGCAAGTTTTATGTTGCCTGTTGAACCACAATTAAAATTCTTTAATCTCACCTATTTCTCACTTTTTTTAAACATGGGTCCTAGAAATGTGGACACACACACACACACACACACGGACACACATGCATGCACAGACACACATGTGCGCAAACATGCACACGCACACATGCACTCAGACACGCGCGCGCACACACAGAGACACACACAGACACGCGCGCGCACACACGCGCACAGACACACACTCACAGACACGCGCGCGAGCACAGACACAGACACACACTCACAGACACGCGCACACACACATGCACGCACACACACGCACAGACACTTCTGTGGCCCAGTGCTGGCCTCAGTGCTGACCGGCGTTCCCAGCTGCGTCCAAGCTCATCTCTAGAAGATCATTTCATAGGCCCTGAGGGAGGAGAAGAGGAAGGGAGATGTCGTCCACGCCGGACGTTCTGGGCAGGAAGTGGAATCTCGCCGCAGCGGGGACAGACGGAGTGAGGTCAGGAACTCGGTTCTTCTCTGCCCGCAGGACACTGTCCGGGGAATGCCTTCTCCTGCGGGAACAGCCAGTGTGTGACCAAAGTGAACCCCGAGTGTGATGACAGCGCGGACTGCTCCGATGGATCCGACGAGGCCCACTGTGGTCAGTCCGCCCACCTGGCCTGGTCTCGGGCCATGCCCCCTGGCCCAGTTTGCACAGAAAAGCCGAGTGTGGGACCCTGAGCCCATCCTTCCACGTGGGGGCCGTGGGGATGAGAGAGGTGTCCCCGGAGCACGGCCGAGTCCCGCCTCCCTGGGGTCCTGGTTGGTGACCTGTCTTGCAGACTGCGGGTGGCAGCCCGGCTGGAGGACCGCTGGCAGGATTGTGGGCGGCGTGGAAGCGTCCCCGGGGGAGTTCCCTTGGCAAGTCAGCCTCCGCGAGAACAACGAGCACTTCTGCGGGGCCACCGTCATCGGGGCCCGGTGGCTGGTGTCCGCTGCCCACTGCTTCAGCGAGTGAGCCCCTGTCCCTGGGGCTCGGGCCCCCCCCCATCCCTGGGGCCCACCGTCCCTCCCGCCTTGGGGCGCCACGTCTCCTGGGTGTCCCTAGAGCCCACCGGACAGGTGCGCAATATTTTGTGTCCCTTCAATGTCTCACCTTCACTCAGCCCTGTGGGGTTCTGTCTTCGTTTAAAATGTTGCTAACTCCCACATTATGATTCTTTTTGGCATTCATTATGATTTCTGACAATGTTGCTTGAAAATATGTCTTTTTTTGTTTTTTAAAGAAATATTTTTTAAAGTATATTTCTTTATTGATTTCAGAGAAGAAGGGAGAGGGAGAGAGAGACAGAAACATCAATGATAAGAGAGAATCATTGATCGGCTGCCTCCTGCACACGCCCTACTGGGAATCGAGCCGCAACCCAGGCACATGCCCTTGGCTGGAATAGAACCTGGGACCCTTCAGTCTGCAGGCCAACGCTCTACCCACTGAGCCAAACCAGCTTGGGCTGAACATATGTCTTGCTGACTGAGTTTTGGAGCACCCCTTAACATTGGCCCCCAGAGATGACCCCCCTCTCCTGAGCCCCCTCCCCAGCCCGGTGCAGAGGGGCCGCTCAGTGCCATCTGTTTGCCCCGCAGGTTCCAGGACCCCACCGAGTGGGTGGCCTACGCTGGCACCACCCAGCTCAGCGGCTCCGAGGCCAGCACGGTGCGGGCCCGCGTGGAAGCAGCATACAAAATACTATATCTGCATCTGATAAAATTCAGAATTCAAAAAATATCTATCACTTTATTCCAGAAATTCCTGGTATAACTCATTCCAAGATCTTAATGCAGCTTAAATAATCCCAAAGCTATGGATCCATGCAAATTTACTCTTCTTGGTATTTAATGTGATGAACAGATCCTACTTATTACCTGTTCCCCTATATTCACCCCCACCCCCACCCCCTGCCAGGAGCACATTTACCCGCACGGTTCTCCCCCTTACCCATGATTCCCTATCTGCAGGGTCGCCACTTGCTAACATTTATTTTGAGCCCCAAGTAGATACAAATGGGGATTTTGGGGTCAATTGCGATTGTGCACAGAGAGGACGTGCTTGAGTTGAGGACAAGCGTGTTCTCATTTAAGGTGATGCCCTGCCTCCTGGTTTCAGCTCAGACTGGAAGTGAGAGTCCTTTTCATGGTATAGTTACTGCCATGGTTTTTTTTGGTGTTGGTGGTGGGGTTTTTTTTTTTTGCATTTTTGTGCTTTTTGTGGCTGATTTTGCTGCCCCCCAAGCACGGGGCTGAAGTGCTGGCTAGTGTGGCACAAGACGGCTGCCATGTGTGTCAGGGAGAAAAAACGGTGTCAGGTCAACTTGGTTCAGGCGCGAGTTACGGCACCTCTGGCCGTGAGTTCAAGGTCAGTGAATGAACGCAGAGTTCCGATGAGGAGACAAGGCGATGGGCACTGATGAGAAAGGCCAGGGGGACAGTTACATCCATAGAAGGAAGGCTCCGCTGCTGGTGCCCACACACGACATAGGGGTGTTTATTCTAAAAACGGTGTTTACTTTCAATCCGGTAGAGCTCTCCGTCCAGGCGTCACAATATCTGCTTTCTTATCATCTTTGCAAACAGTTCTTTGGGACACGAGGTTGCCTAAGCCCAGCCCAAGGGTTATTTGGCCCTGTTGTTGTTGTTGTTTTTTTTAATAAAGCTTTATTTATAAAAACAATTAGTGGAAACTCCAGTTAAGCACGTGTATACACACACACACACACACACACACACACATCAACAAGTATCTGGCCTGAGAGAGAGAGATTGCCAAGTCTTGCTCTAAATCACGGTGAGAGATTAGTGGGAACAAAGGTATTTCAGACGGTTGTTTGGCCTTGTTTTTAACATTCAGGGTTTGAGGCATAAGATGTGCGAGGCCATTCTGGGCTGGCAGCTCTGACTCCGTTTTATAGTGGCTTCGTTATTTTGGACAAATGCATAGTAAGTAAGGCCTCTTCAACCGGAAACACACGTGGCACAAGGCGATGCCTCGGTGGCTTGAGGGGAATGCGGTGACCAGAGTCACGGGAACCTAAGCCTGCGTTTCCCCAGGAGCACTGTCCACATTCAGGAATCCCGTGTTCACAGCGACTCTAGAGACCAGAGAGGCCTCAGTGCTGAGAATCGGTTGAGATTGGAGGCGATGAGTGCTGGGGAGGAGACCACAGGATGCAGCAAGAACAGCGAGTGGGGGTGGGCGGACAGCTTTAGGAACGTGACCCTCAGCTAAGATCGGGCAGGTGAGGCCAACCCAGACAGGCAAAGAGTGAGGGGACAGAAAGAGTCCCATCACTGAGGAAGTTCCAGAACATTCCAGAGCTGCAGTGTGCAATCTAGTAGCCACAGCCTCGGACCAGGTCAGCAGGTACGCAGGTGTGTGTAGACGGTGCCTGTCCATGGCTCTGGAGCCTGGGAGGGAGGTGTCCTCCCCAGGGCTCCCCGAGGCCGGGGTCTGAGATTCTGACGCGCCCGACCTCCCCGGCAAGGCCTGTGTGGGGGTTCCCAGTCTGTGCCAGCCTGAGAAAAAAGAAAAATCCTGGAAGGTTAGGATTTTGTGATAAAGAAAGATATTTGCCACAAGAACCTAATCAGGAGGGGAAGCGGCTGATGACTAAACCCGATCAATAAACGTTTGAGCCCCTCCAGCTCCCTGTTCCAGAGATTATGCAGCAAGAAAAACAGACAGCAGTCCCTGCCCATGTGGTGCCCCCGTCCCGTCTGGCCCAGCGCCATCCGGCATCACCGTCCTCAGCGATGGGCATGCTCTATGGGAGCACCGACCATGATGGGAGCCGCAGCCCCACGAAATGTGGCCAGTGCAACTGAGAAACTGGGCTTTACATTTTATTTCATTTGCACGCATTTACATCTACATTTAAATAGCCATGTGTGGCCGCTGGCTACTGTACTGGACCTGGCAATTGTAGGGGCAATAAATACTAGACAAGATGAGTGATAGATGGCGATGAAAGCAGTGGAGACAATAACCAGGATGGGGGGCTGCAAGGTTAAATAGGGAGGTCAGAAAGGCCTCCTTGAGAAAGGAGAGGAAGGCAGAAGACAAGCAGATTCCTCGGGACAGTCGTGGTAGGCAGCTGGGATAGGATGTGCAAGGGCCCTGGGGCAGGTGGTCCAGTCTTGGGCATTTAGGCTGAGCCAGGGGGAACTCACCCTGGGGGGGGGTTTGAGGGGGGAAAAGGATATAATCTGATTTAATGTTTAGCCAAGATGGCACTGGCTGCCGGGCTAAGAGATGATTCCAGCAGGGTAGGACTAGAGCAGGGTGGGGAACCTATTTTCTGCCAAGGGCCATTTGGATATGTATAACACCAGACAGAATTATCCACTTAAAAATTAGCCGGCTATATTTGGTCAGACATTTAATGAACTCACCCCTAATGCCTTGGTAGGGCCAGCCCAAATGGTTTCTCGGGCCTTGGACGGCCCGCGGGCCGGATGTGTCCCCCACCCCTGGTCTAGAGTAACAGCAGACGCAGGTGAGGGGAGCGGAGACGTGGAGCCCAGTCTTTTTTTTTTTTTTTTTATGTGCCTCAGGCATGAAACAGCTCTGGCCACCGACACAGGCATCAAGCTAGGATGAACTAAGGACTGTAGGTCTGCTCTGCCCCTGACTGCTATAAGAGCAACACCACCAATCAGGTGTCTCCTTGCCCATTGCCAGGGGGTGGAGCCCAGTCTTGGGATGTCCACCTGGACGCCGCTCAGCTGTCTGAGTGGAGAGTGTTCTCAGGAGGCATTTGTAGAGCCTTTACTCTTTGTTAGTTTCTGAGGCTGGGGCTGCAGCATCTCTGCTTGCAGCTGGGGAAACTGAGGCACAGAGAAGAGAAGTCCTTCAGCATTCTGGCTCAGGGTGACTGCCGGGGCCCCGGCATACTCACCGCACTGGCCTCTCCCGCCCCGGGCAGTGATCAAGCCGGAGATGCTGCAGAAAGCCACCGTGGAGCTGCTGGACCAGGCCCTGTGTGCCAGCCTGTACGGCAACTCACTCACCGACCGCATGCTGTGCGCCGGCTACCTGGACGGCAAGGTGGATTCTTGCCAGGTGAGCCCCGGGGCCCGCAGGGGCCCCAGACAACGCCCCACCCAAGGAGGCGGCTAGAGAGGGCCCCCAGGTTTCTATCCTCGCTTTTCAGCACAGCTCTGGATTTCCTTCTTTGTAGGTTTTTATTTCTGTGTGTGTTGTCCTTTTGTTCATCCTCACATGAGGATATTTTTTCCATTGATTTCTAGAGAAAGTGGAAGGGAGGAAGGGGAAAAGAGAGAGAAACATGGATTGGTTGCCTTCTGCGCGATCCCAGATCAGGGCAGAGGAATCAAACCTGCAACCCAGGTGTGTATCCTTGACTGGGAATCGAACCTGCAGTGCGTGGGCCCACGCTCTATCCACTGAGCCACACTGGCCAGGGCTGCAGTCTATATGTTTGTTCTCATTTCTAAAGCCTGGTGGGTGAGGAGAGACTGCTACATGTGCTCAGGTTGCCATAGCAAAGAACCCAGAACCTGGAGGAAGTGTTGGGAAATAATGAGAGAGCACTGGTGATGGTCGGAGACTTGACTTGGGGTGGTGCACACACAATACAGGGCACAGATGACGTGTTGTAGATTGTGCACCTGAAACCTGTATAATTCTGTTAACCAGTGTCACCCCAATAAAATTGATAAAAAGGGGGAAAACTGACTTTAAGAAACAATAATTGTGAAGCTAAAGAAAAAAATAAAATTAAAAATAAATCCTTTGAGGAAAGATGATTGTTCAATAAAAAGTATTAAAATGACGGACTTGCCACTCTACATTAAAATACATCCAAAATAGACTAAAGATGTGCCCTAACTGGTTTGGCTCAGTGGATAGAGTGTCAGCCTGCGGCCTCAAGGGT